TCTAACAGAAAATTCATCTGCAGAATAATTTTATTGTGCTCTTACCGTGTCTAATAACATCCAAACACAGAAACCTTGCCTAAAATGGTACCTATTTTGACAAATTGTTTACAGTAGCCTATATTACGGACCGTGGCCCACTGGGTTGGTAACATTATTGAAAATAATGTAGCATTTTAGCTGTAAAAAATGGCCCAATGAGTAAATACTATTTAAGCACCTACTGTCATGACAGAAAGGTCATATTCCCTTTAAACTAGATCACATCATACTTTATAAGATACGTTGATTAACAATGCATGTAAACGTCAATATTTACGTGACAGCCAATTTACATCATTTTTGCTTTTTGGAAATGCCTCATTGCTATGTCATTTGCATTATTTGTTGCCAATGAAGCCGCAAGAGATTATATTGACAACGTTATGTAATTAATAAGGCTGAGACATCTAACTGACATCCCCCATGTCTAGGAGTTGCAGCTTTAACAGTAACCCCACAACCAATTTCTCAAAACTGTGCTAGAGAAGTAAATTCATTGGCACATAAGTACGATATGAACTGACGCGATGTAACGGAGGAAAAATCAAACTTACACTGTAACGTATATACCTCCCTTTGAAGTTAGAACGTGTCTTCCCAACATACAGATTTTTTTTTTCAAATAAAATCATAGATTTATCTGCATTACACTGATGAAATCATGAAAGTTTTTAACTTCAAACGATCTACCAATACGATTTTAATACTATTTAAAGGTTCTTGCAAAGGTACCAGATAACATACTATCTCCGATGACGTACGGTATGGGAATTTCTTTATTCATTGAATGATCAACCATATTTGGTAAATAACGCAATTATTGTTTTTACACTTATTAATCTATAAACAATGCTAAATGCTTAAAATATGTATAATTTCACTCAATTTATCGCAGTTAGATGAATTAGCGTAATCCTTGAAAGTAACCGTCGATTTCGACGGGTTTCACAAGGGAGTATGTTTTATCTATGGTTTCACCTAGTATACAAATACCAAGTGCCAAATACTAAGTGTTGGTTCTGAGGTTTGGCTTGTCTCAACCGCTGATCAATACCAGCCAATAGTGTTAATCCAATCATTGACATTTCGTCACATATTGCCACATTAACGTTTGCAGACTTATGTTGATAATTACGCTCTGACTCACCAGTTAAGTCGCGGAAAATATCAGACCTCGACACGGTTAAATGTAAAGCTGAGTGAATTGTTTGGCCGTTAATATTGTTAGCAGCAACACATGTTGGTGCCATGAGCAACACCGAATTCTCCCCATGATTCGTTCGCATGTATTGAACCATTTTATTTTTATTTTTTTTTTTTTTAACAAGTATTTATTTACAATCTATTCTATACTAGAACAATAAGTAAATTTTATGACAATTTTAACATGGAGTGTATCTAACACTCCATCAAGTGCACTAACATACAAAAACTTTTAAAAAGTTTTAACTAAAAACGATTTGGAAAGTCTATTGGATTAACTCTTTTGAGCCTATATGTATCAATACTGATCCTCCAAGGCACATACAACGCTAGTTTCTGCTTGTAGTAGGTTTCAATTTGATGGGGTTGATTTTTATCAACGTATGGTATAACTTGAAGAACTCTTGGTTTTCGGCATTTTCGAACGATTCCTCTTGATGCATGGTATTGTGTTGCAAACTGTAATAAGTTTAAGCAATCGAGATCATTTGATCGTTCAGCGTAATGTTGTAATGTTGACGTTGGGTCGAACTCGTCGTCAATGTCGTTGTTAATTTGTACATAATCTTCAAGACCAATAAATATTTCGACAAATTGACGAGAACTGTGAAAGAGTGGTTCACTACACAGTAAGTGTGAGACCTCACAAGCCGAGTAATCACGCTGTCCTACAACCTTGATCATCATCTTTGAAAAGGCGTTCTTTGCACAACTGTCTTGCTCAGTGGTTGATAAAACTTCATGGAAGAGATCTCTAAATGTTTGTGATTGTGGCTCGCTTTTAGCAGCATATTTTGCTAAGTAATTGACAATAGTGTGTTTGGATGCAACTATCTTACAATCAGTGTTAGAACGCCAGACGTTTGCTACAAATGGGTTGTGTTCATCGATTAGAGGATAATTTCTTGCTGTTGTATATTGCCAAATTCCATTTACATCTTTCGTGAGAGATGATTCTTCTTGCAGTGGCTTTGGAAAGTTTAACCAACATTGGTTATTGCATAGGCAATAACGTGCAGAACATTTGGTATGTCTCTGTACACGATTTAAAAGCTGAGCTGTTTGGACATTATCATTCAAATCAATGTCAGTACATTTAAGTCTAGATGGATGAGTACGTGAAGGAGGCTCTGATGGAGACGGGAATAGTTGACACTATTCCATCATAATATAATCGACAAGCAACAAGTTGTTCATCAGTATAACTATCAAACAAATTCACGTCAGTTGCATTAGCAAGCCATAAGAGTATATGAACATGAGGACTTCCACGATGCTGATACTCGAACCTGTACCAAAACTCTACAACTTGCAGCTTTCTCTTAAGTATATCCATAAAAATTACAACTCTTTTTGCGAAATATATATCGACAATCAAAGGATTAGAGTTAATTTCCCTTTACACGATTCGACTAATTTGTGGTTCAGTTTTCCCAATCAATTCTTCAGTGACATTCAGAAGACGCTGTGTGCAAGGCCACCATAAATCAGCAGCACTGAGTGTAAGAAACACTGTAGGAACACCTAGTTGTGTCACCATTGCTTCAAGTTCCATGCGGCGCTGATACCAGTACGGTGACGTTCCTCTAATTTTTGAACACCAGTGTAAAAGCTTATGCAAAATGGAAGGATTTCTCTCGACTTCTGCCGTTAGTTGTAGGATATTTCCGGCGAATTCATTTTTTCTTGCAATTATTGTACTTCTAGAAATGGCTTCATGACGCTGAATTGTGTTAAGACAAAAAATCTAAATCGTGAATCTCTTGCAAATCGTGCATCTTGACTTTCATGTTGACTTCATGGTGACTTTTACACCACTCATATACTGATATCTTTTGCGGCCGAGTGAAATCCAATAAGTCTGGTTTTCCATAAGGAAACAGATGAGGAAATGCCATTGGAATATAGCCAACCCTAGTGAATTCGTTTACGGGTGCTGATGTTCCGGTCGGCCACATTAGTCTCTGAACGTGATCCCTTTGACGAGACTGCGCAATCATAGGCACCGATGTTTCTTCAACTTGGTCTTCTTCGATTTCATCAGGACTTTCTTGGTTTTCACGTACACACGGTACTCTCATGTGAACAAAATCATTGACTGGTAGTTGGTGTAGCGCTTCATCACTAATGGTTATGTCAAAATAGAATGGGTTATTTGCCTTCAGCCAAATAAGTGCTTGCTGTATTTTTTCACGTCGAACTTTGAAATCGATGTGGCCAAAGACGCCTTGACGTTGGACAATGATGACTTTTAAGTTTTCGGGCAGTGTAGGTAAGACAGATGCTATTTCATTAATGATGCTCAACATTAATGATGTTACCTTTGTAGTGAAACTGGCGATCCTGACCATTTGCTTGTACTTTGTAAATGCTCATAGCGGGATGTACTCGTGCAATCAACATTTGTTCTACAATCGTCATGGCAGTTAATTTGTTCGGGACACTTGAAACATCCAAGTTATTTAACGCCGTGAATTTAGTTGCATTTGAACGACAACGCGAACAAATCGGTGATTAATTTGAAGCTGTTAGTTGTTGGCGATGACAGTTAGTGCAAGTGTAAAATGTTAGTGCATCTAATTCATGTTGGAATTGATTAGCTAACTGCCTATCATTATCAGCTTCTTCCACCACTGCTTCATCTGGTTCTTCTTGTTCACGACGCCACTCTCTTACAATATTTGCATTATTGGTGCGACGACCAATATTACGACGTGGCCTTTGAGGCATGATCAAAACAAATATAGCAAAACTGTTACTTCTATTGATAAACTGTTACATTCCAACCCAAGGCCCCACTACCAACTTTAACCTAGGATGAAAGTAAACATTGAAATGTAAACAAAACAGTTACAAACAATTAACATATGTTTATCTTATTTAAATGAAACGAGATAAACCCATATGTCATAAACCCAATATAATTTTTCTTTCAACTTACATTAAAATAACAAGCGAAATTGCGTGACCCGTAAAATAAAATCCAGAAGGAATTTTGCAAATAGTTTTTACCATAAACATTGTGCTCAGTATTCTTTAGCTGTTGGCCAAATTTTATATCAATTGGTCAAGCCATTACATTCTGATGCTCATACAAAGAAGTTACAAAGTGAGGGAAAGTGAGCTTCGCTCAATAATCGTTGTCATAATACCTAGGCCTATTCAGGCTATAAAATCACATCGTTAGTAGCAAAGTTTAAATAAATTGTGTTGTCTATCTCGCACTCGTAGATCGTTATTAAAGGGGGAGGTTAACATTGCGTCCTCATATTATACAAGTTGACATACATTTTTCTGTGTATCGGTATTTACTTTGACAAGACCCTCATTAAAAGGTGCTAATTTTGTGTTGAGTCTAATATTTTTAGTAGTATTTTCCTGCAGATGGAAGAATCTCCGCAGTCAGCCCATACTTGTGTGAGATAACTTGGCTCTGATTCACCAACGATATCAATAAATTGTAAAAACTAAATAGTCAACCCCTGTCACAGTTAGGTGAGCGTCACGCAAAATAACTTCCATTGAAAGGCGGTTGTAATCAGCAGATGTGTTCACAAGCTAAAAAAGATAATATATTTTATTATTGGGTAACAAAAGATATGTGCATAAAATCCGTATGTGGGTTGGACAGTTTTATTTCAAAAAGTGTATGTAACTGTCGTAGAAACACAAACAAAAAATAAAATAAAATACCGACAAGGACACAGGATAGGATAAGCTAGGAGGCACATACTCTAGGATCTAGTAATACTTACGAGAGAGACAAGTGTGTCTACGGAACTGTAGAAAGCCCGGCTCACAGCGACAAACCCCGGCCAGACATGTGCTGTTGGCTACCTTCTGGGAACACTGCTCAGCTACCCGACACTCGAACCCCAGCAAAGTGGCTGTCAAATCACAAACATGTAAGTCAAAACACTATGGGTAAATAAAACTGTGTGATGTAAACAAAATCAAACTGAAATAGTTTTTTCCCTAAACCAGAATTTTAAGAAATGACTACAAGATCTGTTATAACAAGATTAGCAAAAGAAACTTGTATTTCCCAAAACACATTGATAGTCTTAATCATAACTCTAATCTTAACACATTCTTTAATACTTTACTTTAAAATGGCGTTGGCAACCATACAAAAGTAGGTATTTTAAGCCAAGTATGAATGGAGATGAGTGTAGTATGAGTGGTGCGATCTTGTAAACTTGTTAGTGACTAAGGCCGACATATTCCTTACACACAGCTGTTAATTAATAACCCATACAGCCAAGGGCAACTTACGGACCTACAGCTTATATTGGTATCCGAACCACATACCTAATTGGTAATATTGAAGTAATATTCAAACAAGTAGGCCTATATGCTGTAGTTGGTAATACTAATGCGTACTACTTACTTGCAACTACTTACACTGCAAGCACTGCGTGCCGTTATACTGGGCGTAGTAGGGTAGACAGGAGCATCGACCGTGATGACATCTGGAGTACTGTGTCGAGCATTGATCGTCTCCTGAACACGGCGAGTCCAGCCCCGAACCAAGTGTTGCTCCTGTCTGGAACAGTAAAGCAATGGTACAGTGGTAGTATAGTGACCATACACTATCAGCGGTCGTCTGCAGAACACGGCGAGTCCAGCCCCGAACCAAGTGTTGCTCCTGTCTGGAACAGTAAAGCAATGGTACAGTGGTAGTATAGTGGCTATACACTATCAGCGGTCGTCTGCAGAACACGGCGAGTCCAGCCCCGAACCAAGTGTTGCTCCTGTCTGGAACAGTAAAGCAATGGTACAGTGGTAGTATAGTGACCATACACTATCAGCGGTCGTCTGCAGAACACGGCGAGTCCAGCCCCGAACCAAGTGTTGCTCCTGTCTGGAACAGTAAAGCAATGGTACAGTGGTAGTATAGTGGCTATACACTATCAGCGGTCGTCTGCAGAACACGGCGAGTCCAGCCCCGAACCAAGTGTTGCTCCTGTCTGGAACAGTAAATCAATGGTACAGTGGTAGTATAGTGGCTATACACTATCAGCGGTCGTCTGCAGAACACGGCGAGTCCAGCCCCGAACCAAGTGTTGCTCCTGTCTGGAACAGTAAAGCAATGGTACAGTGGTAGTATAGACGCCATACACTACCAGCGGTAGTCTGCTGAACACAGCAAGTCTAGATCCGAGCCAAGTGTAGCTCCTGTCTGGAACCGTAAAGCAATGGTACAGTGTTAGTATAGTAGCCATAAACTATCAGCGGTCGTCTGCAGAACACGGCGAGTCTAGCACCAAGCCAAGAGTTGCTCCTGTCTGGAACGGTAAAGTAATGGTACAGTGGTAGTATAGTGGCTATACACTATCAGCGGTCGTCTGCTGAAAACGGCAAGTCTAGTCCCGAGCCAAGAGTTGCTCCTGTCTGGAACAGTAAATCAATGGTACAGTGGTAGTATAGTGGCTATACACTATCAGCGGTCGTCTGCAGAACACGGCGAGTCTAGCACCAAGCCAAGTGTCGCTCCTGTCTGGAACTGTAAAGCAATGGTACAGTGGTAGTATAGTGGCTATACACTATCAGCGGTCTTCTGCTGAACACGGCATGTCTAGTCCCGAGACAAGTGTCGTTCCTGTCTGGAACAGTAAATCAATGGTACAGTGGTAGTATAGTGGCTATACACTATCAGCGGTCTTCTGCTGAACACGGCATGTCTAGTCCCGAGACAAGTGTCGTTCCTGTCTGGAACAGTAAATCAATGGTACAGTGGTAGTATAGTGGCTATACACTATCAGCGGTTGTCTGCAGAACACGGCGAGTCTAGCACCAAGCAAAGTGTCGTTCCTGTCTGGAACAGTAAATCAATGGTACAGTGGTAGTATAGTGGCTATACACTATCAGCGGTCGTCTGCAGAACACGGCGAGTCTAGCACCAAGCCAAGTGTCGCTCCTGTCTGGAACTGTAAATCAATGGTACAGTGGTAGTATAGTGGCTATACACTATCAGCGGTCTTCTGCTGAACACGGCATGTCTAGTCCCGAGACAAGTGTCGTTCCTGTCTGGAACAGTAAATCAATGGTACAGTGGTAGTATAGTGGCTATACACTATCAGCGGTCGTCTGCTGAGCACGGTGAGTCCAGCACCAGGCAAAGTGTCGTTCCTGTCTGGAACAGTAAATCAATGGTACAGTGGTAGTATAGTGGCTATACACTATCAGCGGTCGTCTGCAGAACACGGCGAGTCTAGCACCAAGCCAAGTGTCGCTCCTGTCTGGAACTGTAAAGCAATGGTACAGTGGTAGTATAGTGGCTATACACTATCAGCGGTCTTCTGCTGAACACGGCATGTCTAGTCCCGAGACAAGTGTCGTTCCTGTCTGGAACAGTAAATCAATGGTACAGTGGTAGTATAGTGGCTATACACTATCAGCGGTCGTCTGCTGAGCACGGTGAGTCCAGCACCAGGCAAAGTGTCGTTCCTGTCTGGAACAGTAAATCAATGGTACAGTGGTAGTATAGTGGCTATACACTATCAGCGGTCGTCTGCAGAACACGGCGAGTCTAGCACCAAGCCAAGTGTCGCTCCTGTCTGGAACTGTAAAGCAATGGTACAGTGGTAGTATAGTGGCTATACACTATCAGCGGTCTTCTGCTGAACACGGCATGTCTAGTCCCGAGACAAGTGTCGTTCCTGTCTGGAACAGTAAATCAATGGTACAGTGGTAGTATAGTGGCTATACACTATCAGCGGTCGTCTGCTGAGCACGGTGAGTCCAGCACCAGGCAAAGTGTCGTTCCTGTCTGGAACAGTAAATCAATGGTACAGTGGTAGTATAGTGGACATTCACCATCAGCGGTCTTCTGCTGAACACGGCATGTCTAGTCCCGAGACAAGTGTCGTTCCTGTCTGGAACAGTAAATCAATGGTACAGTGGTAGTATAGTGGCTATACACTATCAGCGGTAGTCTGCTGAGCACGGTGAGTCCAGCACCAGGCAAAGTGTCGTTCCTGTCTGGAACAGTAAATCAATGGTACAGTGGTAGTATAGTGGACATTCACCATCAGCGGTCTTCTGCTGAACACGGCATGTCTAGTCCCGAGACAAGTGTCGTTCCTGTCTGGAACTGTAAAGCAATGGTACAGTGGTAGTATAGTGGCTATACACTATCAGCGGTCTTCTGCTGAACACGGCATGTCTAGTCCCGAGACAAGTGTCGTTCCTGTCTGGAACTGTAAAGCAATGGTACAGTGGTAGTATAGTGGCTATACACTATCAGCGGTCGTCTGCTGAGCACGGTGAGTCCAGCACCAGGCAAAGTGTCGTTCCTGTCTGGAACAGTAAATCAATGGTACAGTGGTAGTATAGTGGACATTCACCATCAGCGGTCTTCTGCTGAACACGGCATGTCTAGTCCCGAGACAAGTGTCGTTCCTGTCTGGAACTGTAAATCAATGGTACAGTGGTAGTATAGTGGCCATTCACCATCAGCGGTCTTCTGCTTAATACGGCATGTCTAGTCCCGAGCCAAGTGTCGTTCCTGTCTGGAACAGTAAAGAAAGCAATGTTACAGTGGTAGTATAGTGGTCATTTACTTGTGGTCGTCTAAGGCACTATAATAGTGGTCGTCTCCTGGCATATACACTTGGACTCTATTGCCTCTGCCATTGAACAGTGTACACAACATAACTCCCCGTATCTCCCCGCATCGATAGCGAGAGCGACACGTTTAGCTGATCACAAGCCATAGACGTAGAGTAGAGCGTGACACTGTTATATGGAGCAGAGTTCCCACGGCCCCGTTAGGACGGTCGGGTGGCCTTCAGAGGCCGTGGAAGGACAGAGTTACTTATCAATGATATGTATTCGGCACCAATAGAGGTCTCGTATGTGCTGCCGTGTCAAACCATGGGACACATTCACTTTCAACAAAGTGCTTGAAAATAAGACTTTAGAGTTATTTCAGGGCCACTGGTAATCCTGGCGCTGTTCTTCCTTTAATGCAAATCTAGCGATGACCCAAACTGCTAAACATGCGTCTCTCATAATCCTAGCATCACTGTGGAATAACCAGGTTACAAGTCTGGAAGAAGTTTTGGTCGTGTTTCTACCCTTACACCTAAGGTAGGTTAGGTAGGTTTGACAGGGGTTCGTCGTAAGGCAGGTTATGCATCTCTATCTCTCTGATGTTAAGCTCTTTAGTGTAACCTAAGCTCATAAAATTCTATGTTCTAAAATTCAATAGCCTCCATTTTTCGTTGGACAATTGTTTTAGTCCTCTGGGGATGGAAATAACACATTCGAAAAACTCTTTTAGTTGGTTGGCCTTATAAGTAGTCACCACTTACCACAGGGGTGTATATAAGGGGGCCCCACCGAAGTAATGAATGAATATGAAGAAAAAATAGGTACAATAATATAAAATATTTATCAAGAATCAATCATACGTGAATACATCACCGTGGCAGACAGTGATAGTTTCTGCGAGTTCGGGTTGCTGCAGACCGACTCGAGCTTCTGGCTTCTGCCCACCTCCCGGCTTTCATCGCTTGCAGCAGTGACTGCTAGATACCAGCATTTCTACCGGTGACAGGGGAGGGGAGTAATTAAGAGTTCAGTCAGTTTAGTTGTAGCCATTGTTATTGTTTGTTATTTAAATCTTTTCGACGTTGTACTGAAATTTTAACGTTTTGCAGATCGCACAGAAGAATACTTATGCAGTTGTTAGAACTCCTCCGAATATGATAATCACAATCGCGTATTTGACTCGTAAGGTTCGGATAAGTGTTTACAGATTAAATGATACACTGCTAAATCTTGATCAATGTTTTTTATTTAGTAATTGAGATATTTTCTTCATTTGGCTTGAATAGATACATGTTAAAAAATAAATGGACCAATTTAATAATACTGTTTATCGTTATCTTGGTAAAGTAAAGGTCACATTTAGCGCAAATTACTGCAGCAAAACTGACATAAAGTCATGGCGTGTCTACTTGAAATTACTTAACCTAACCTTAAATTAATCTCGGCCCCTCCAAAAAAATATTCTATATCCACCACTGACTTACCCATCTGTCATTAAATGGTTTTATTCGTCCATAATCCTGACAGTAGAAGAAGCTTCTAATCACGTAGAATAGTTGAAACGCAAAAGGTTGTTAAAATCACCAAATAACAATAGGCTAAAACACTTTAATACTTGGTCTAATTATCAGGATAGTACTGCGGATAGTAGTAGTACTCACCCGTGTGGACGTTAATCCACACCAGGGAGTATCGCATCCACAGTGCATGCCTATATAAATATCCACAATTCGTGACCTCCTAGTAGCTGGATTTCAGGACGACGCTACCCGTCCCCGTCACTATTACTAATAATTAATATTGCGGTCATTAACTCAAAATTAACACAGCCATTTTATAAATGTAACTTTCGAGTATGTTTCTACATACATGTAGACAAGCTTTGGTTACTAAAAATGAGGAGTTGGCTAGCAGAGGCTACACCTGGTTAACTGACGGCAGGTCTCATTATTATAACACAAATGTTAAGTAATTCAATCTTATTCGATG